TGGAGCAGTGAAGTTTGGGAGGGATCAGTATAAAGTGTGGCAGTAAGTGGCAAAGAACAGAGACAACATGAGAGGACCTGGAACAAGGAGCTGTCTGGGGAAATGAGGAAAGACAGTGAAGATTTCCAGCTTTCCAGTGAGACTAGGACAGAGATAAGGGGTCAGAGAAGAGCAGATGTGGAATAGGTAAAAGGGGAAATAAGCTGTGGAAAGAAAGAGCATTGAGGAAAGAGCAAGTGCATTTTTCTGCCACACACACTTTCAGAATTTCTATAGAACCCGGAAGTAATTAATTTAACTTTTCTACTTCTGTCAGCAAATGTCTATGTAATACTTTTGGGCAAAAAGTATTTCTCATTGTTGTGTAGTTACTCCTATCTAGTTTCTTGCAAATTATGCACTGTGACAACAAATATTGCATGAACTTCAGTGGCAGAGAACACAGGGTAAATAACAAGATGGCCTGAATAATGACCATCAGATCTTATTTTTGTTGAGTTCAATAAAACCAGGAACTTTCCTCTTCAGTTATATAGAAGGAGCATTCTAATGGGTGCAGAAAGCCAAACACTTGATTGTTAAAGAATACATAAACTTCTCTTATTTTATTTCACCTGGACCTGGGTATCCAACAGCCTAAATCACCAGGTTATTGTGGTGTTTAAGAAATTTAATTCTCTTCAGACTTCATTAACATTTTTGAACGGAGGAGAGATTTGGACCTAATTTGCTATATTTCTAATGAAAATGTTAATCAAATGTAGTTTGATTATTTTGGATGCTTTTATTATTTTAGGACTATTTCCCATATCAATACACTGTAATCACTCCCATTCAGAACCTGAGAAGCATTTGCAAATGACAGTATCTTATGAACCGAGAGATTTCCAGAAAATGACGGATTTAATAAACCAGTGGGTTTGGACGCAATGCTGTTATGAAACTGCCTTTAGTTAGATGATGGCATATCTGCCTCACTGCACAGAATGGACTGGCATCAAAATCAGAGTTGTGTAGTGAACATTATTTTCATATCATTATTTAGAAAATGCAATTGTAACAATTTCATGTGACAGCACAGTTATTTCTTGTGGGCAATATTTAGGTTAGATGCAGGGTTTATTAGTGCTGTGTGTGCACCTACAAAATTTTATTTTGCCTATGTACAAATCTCAGTCTTTGCAAGTCCTACAGCTAAGTTAGTGTTAGGAGACAGGTAGTGCAGTTAGCTTGTTAAAAATATAGGTGCACAGTAAAATCACTAGATTTATTTATAACAAAATCTTTTCCCTCTGCATATTTTGCCTGTCTTACATGCAAAACTCTTCCTCATTTCACAAGAGATATACACCTATGTGTTATCTACAAGTCATGTTTGTCTATTACTAAAAAGCCCACATGACTGAAATCACAAGTAGGTCTGTTGCTATTTCATGGTTATTGAAATGGATTTCCCAACAGAAATTAGCAGAAGAAAATGTTCTGGATTGCTTTGTTTCCTGTAGCCATCCGTAGAGGAGACTACCATATCTGTCTGTCCTAAACAATTGTTAGATTTAAACTAGGATTTTATATATATAAGAATATCATCATGCAAATTAAGTTAGCATTCAATTTTTTACTTTAAATCTTTATGTGGAAGTAGTTTGTCTTTTTTTTTTTTAAAATGTAGCAGATAATATTTGCGGATGGAAAGTGAGGGAAGGGGGAATTCTAACTGGGATTTTGTAAAGATCAAACTTGTTTGATCTTCAAATAATAACTTGGTTTTTGGGGTTTTTTTTCCAGTTAACATCGCTTATTACTGATTAACTTTTGCAATATGTTTTTTAATTGACCACTATTCAGTTTTTTACTGTAGAAATTAGGCCAGTGCACCTACAAAGTACAGTGTTATTTGAGTGTGTATATATCATGATATTAGCAAACAATAGCTGTGATAGAAAACATAAATATGAGAAGGCAGATGTAACACTTTTCAGTGTGTTTGTATTATAAAGGGGGTTAAAATAACTTATTAGGATGCATATGTCCACAGTTAAACTGGTTTTGGTTCCTAGATTTGAAGATTTTCTTCTTTATGACATCTAGCTATAAATTCCTAAATTTATCTTAAAATTACTGATTAAAAAAAAATTTAAAGTCTATTGGCATATTAGAGCCTTTTTAAATAGCTTTTAAGTAAAAGAAAAAGTTGTAAGCCAATGATGATGATGATATCTCTTCACCTGGATTTTTTTAATGGTGCATTTTGCATAAACATACATAGGCCGAGAGACAGGGAGAGATTTTTGGAGGATGCAGAGATTGATGAACTTGCAGTCGTGCAGAAATGCTAATTTTTAAACATCTGGTTTTAAACACCATTTTCGGCAGGACTTTTTCTTAAATTCTTGTTAGGCATTGTTCAACTTACAGAGAAGCTGCACATCTGATTTGTGAAGGCATTTGAGTGAAACTCCTCAAAACAGAAAAGGGTAAAGCACTTTGCATAAGAAGCCAAAATCAGAAGGAAATCGAGTTTTGTGTAACAAGTCAGCTCAGAGAAAACTAAATCTGCTGAAGATGTAAAGGCAGCTTTCTTAAAACATCATATTAAATACTATGCTCACAGTATATCACTCTGGTTCCTTCATGATTATTGAGGGAGCTTGTTAAAAAAAATGCTAAAAGGGGCAGCAAAGAAAAAGGTATCCATACAGGTGGCATGGATATTATTAGAATTAAAAAAGCATCAAACAAATAGCTGAAGTAATGTCCAAATGAAAAAGGTAGAAAAGATGACAAATTTTGGTAGGTTAAATGTCAAAACACAGTAAGGATGACAAAAAAAGTTTAAGAAAAACTAGCAATAAATTCCTCAAACACAGGAGAAGACAGCCTGGCAGAGTCTGTAGGGCCACTTGATGGTTAGAGAGCATGTGAGAAAATAAGAAATAGGAGAAAGGCAGAAAATAAAGCACTAGGAGGGAAGGCAGATTAGTTTGTGTGTGTTCACTGTGAAGGAAACTACAGAGGTACCCAAGCAACAGCCTTTCTTTCTGGATAATCTCTTTGAAAGAGAAGTGCCAGTCAAAGAGGTTATGGGACAATTAGGTGATTGAAGATTTATCAAGCATCAAGAACCAAGTGCATTTCACTCAGGCTCTACCAGCTTGCTTGCATCTTCCCTTGGTGTTAAATAGTTGGTTTGAGATTTAGTTGAAGGTTTCAGGGTTATTTTATCTCAATGTATTCATCCATGCTTAAGTTAAATGTATGGTCTGGTGCATCCTTTCTTTTATGTTTTGTCTCTATTACAAGTTACAAATGCAAGAAGTCTGGGTTTAGACTTAACAGTTTTACCTCATTTATTTGCCTCTTTTGGTGTAACTATCTGTGTTCAAGGTTTCTCATATTCTTTGTTGCTGTTCTCCTGGGAATATGGGACAGTTTCTTCTATCGAGCAAAAAGCAAATCAGAAATAGCTCTCCATATTCTCTTAATGTTATGTTCTGTCAGTGGATTTTCAGTCATTTCTGTCATGCCTAGGTCCTTGAATATTTGCAAATATTTTTTGTCTTCATTTTATTCTATCAAAATATCCTATCAAAAAATTTCTTCCTTCTGTTTTTTTTGTCACATTTGACCTACATCATTTTATCATTGACATTTCTGACCCACATACACCATATGTATAGCAAACTCTTATTTTCTTTGATCTCTTAAATGTTATTTGGTCTTCCATATTTGTGGAATGTGCTTTTTTGAAGCAGTATTAATAACTGTGGATTTCTATGTGCTTTGCTTAATAATCCACAAAATCTTGTCTTTTTAGAAGCCCTAACCAACAATAATACTAACTTGCCTGGTTAGTGATTTTTTCATTCTTTCTAACAAATTATGTATAACTTAATGTGACAGAGTTCTTAAAGAAGAAAAAAAAAAAAAACAAAAGCCTCCCATACCTTCCATAAAGAAACATTTATGTAATCCTATTCTCCAAGAGACTTCATTTGATTCTTAAATGGGCATTTTCTATAACGTAATGATATGGCCACTGGAAGTTGTGATAAGAGGTTTTAAAATAATGGTAGAATTCTGACAGTCATGTCTGAATACTTTTTTAATTTATTCTATGTATATAATTAATAAATAATTGCTTTAAAATCTTGAAATAATTTTCTTAATATTTTCCATTAAAAACCTGTTATAATTACAGGACTCAAAAATATAATTTTGTGATTTAATGAGGATTTTTTTTTAAGTGCAGAAGAGGAAAACCTGATGTTTCTTCATTTTGATATAATAAATATTTGTCAATTTAGATTCATTCATACATGACACCCTTCTACTCCTTTCTTTTCTTTATTTTGTATTATACACATTTTCTAAAGTTTCACTGCTCTTTTAAATGAAAAATTGAAGAATGCAGCTGAATATGTTTTTCAAATCTTTTTCACTGCAGTAGTTTGTGTTTCAGAGATTTCCTCCTTTTACAATATCATAGTGTCTCAGTAACGCCTGATACGTAACTTAATTCCTATTATAACTAGAGGAAGGGTTTTGTTGTCATTAGCATACTTGCTGAGATTCAGGAAATAAGGGATTTGATTTCTGGCTCCAACAGCGATTCCCTAAAAGATCTTGCAGAAGGCTTGTTCCTGTTTTGTGTGCTCTGTGTTCTTGCTCTGTAACATGAGGATTGTGACGTCTGTTCTCAACGCCTCCTTGCCTGCTTTGAGTGCTTTGGCTGCAGTGCCTGTAGAGGGAAGGATTTGCTTTACTAAATACATTGCACATAACGATGGCTTGGTTGTTCCTGTGGGACTGCTGTTTAACCCAACTATTATAAAACGAATACCCCATCTTGTACTCTGCCTCCCCATGCCCCTTTCCTAAACCTCTTTCTAGAATATCGGTGAAGTATTAGAAACATTTTATTTCCTTTTCATACTGCAAAGCTTGTTTAGTAATGTCATGTACAGAGATAAAGTACAATGTCTCTTTCTTCATTTCAGCTGCTGTATGTGACTTTGAAAGAGAGAGCTGTGGTTGGATTGAAACTGCAAATGCAGATGAATTTGACTGGGTAAGAAGTTCCAGTAGTGCTCTTGCACCTGCTTTTCAGAAGCAAGCTCCTCTGCAGGATCACACCTGCAACAAATCTGAAGGTAAGACAAGCCAGGCCTAGAAACAGAGAAGAAGTGGAATAGATATACCTTCTCTTTAATCAGGTTTTAAGTGGAGGCCATGAATGCTTTAAAAACCTTTAGAAACACTTTCTTTCTTCAGCCTGAAACGTTGTTTTCTGTTTTATTTTGGTAGGTCATTTTATGTTCATTCTGAAAAACAGCAGCAGCACTTCACAAGTAGCTCGGCTACGAAGTCCAAAGTTCAGACAAACTGGATCAAATTGCACATTGTCCTTTTGGTATGAAATAATTTAGATTTAAAATTCATGGATCATCTCACATTGTTTCTGTCGGACTGAAATTGAGGTTATAGTTTGCAATAGACACACCTTCCTCTGCAGTATTTATTTCTTTTTATTCTTTGATCATATAGTCTTCATTGTGAACAGTATGCAGAAATAAGCTGAAGCACTTGGAGAACAGAACCGAAACATAGAATGACTTTGTTGTCAGGCTTTGAGCAAAATTATATTAAAGGATTGTGTCTGCATATACATAGACAAATACCACAGTCATTTTTCTAACATCTCTACTTTGGTTAAGTAAATTTGAAAATGTTGTGGAATTTTTCTCAAGAACAGGAAACCATCCAAAAATCTCATAGCTCCTTGAGTCACCTACAGTGTCCAAAATTAGATTGCATCATCTTTAAGAGAAAGCTCCAGTGCAAGAATTGGAGCTTTGTTTCCAATCCTTTCTTTATATATAGAAAAAAAAAACCAAACACCTTTCAGTTATTTTCTTGTCTCAGTCTTTGTGCAATCTTGTTGAAGAGGGACAAGAAAAGTAAACTGTGATAATTTGTTTACTAAGCTCAAAAGTGGTGCTATTGTCTAAATAAATATTTGGCCTGACTTTGACACTATCAAGTGTGCTTTTTCTCAGGAATGTCAAATACATTTGTCATAGGAAGAGGAAATGTCTTTTTAACAAAGACTCAAGATTTGAAGTTGGAGTATAGAGTTGGCAATTACAAGTTGTTGGTTCTGTTCCCAGTTTTGTTGTACGATTGCTCACCTAAGTATTTATGATTTTTAAATGCTTTGAGATCCTCCAAAAATGCTGTAAAATGCAACATATTAACAACAACTAACATAGATGGAAGGTGTACTTTTGCATTCACTAAGTGTTCTGTTTTTCCTTCTTGAAACTCTACAGTTATGTATTGAATTAAATTTATAAAAAACTTATTATGCATCTGACTAAGCAGTATTTGTTGCTTAATATGAAAGCAAATATGTCTCTTCAGTTATGGGTTTTAATTTAGTGAAGTATGCTTCTTCTTAAAGAATCTTTAGTTCTTTAAATGACCCCTGGACTGATACAGTAGCCTACCCTACCATCATACAGAAAGTGGACTGAGTTACAGGTAAACTGGAAATAGGCACTGTGGACTTCCTATATTTCATGGAGCTATGAAGAAAAGATACTGGCTATTATACATGACATGGTCCATTCTCATCATTTGCACCCTTAACTTTTTTTTTTTTATCATTTTAGGTATTACAATTATGGACAGTCAGTTGGGGCAGCAGAGATGCAATTGCTTATGGATGGGCTGAAACAGCCTACTGTCCTTTGGAGGGCATATTACAACGAGGGAAATCAATGGTTGAAGGCAGTCATTCAGCTTGGACGCCTTCCACATCCTTTCCAATTATCACTTGATAAAATCAGTCTGAATTTTTATGACGGCATCTCAGCAATTGATGATATTACATTTGAAAATTGTGCTCTTCCGCCTCCAGCATTAAGTTGTGAAGGTCCTAATCGTTTCTGGTGCAGAGACACAAAAGCATGTATTGACAGTTTATTGGTCTGTGATCTTGTGGATAACTGTGGGGATGGATCAGATGAAGACAACTGTAGTAAGTACTTTCCATTATTGCTTACTTTATATCAACCCAAAATTTACTTGCCAAATTCATCCCTGGAGTAAAAAAGCACAGTTCTGTTACAGCCTATCAGTGTCACAGCCAGCGATGATTCAACTGAATATAGTTACTGATGAAACAGACTCTGAAAATTTTAACTTATATGCATATGATGAGTTACAACTGAGAGTAAATGGAATTCAATCTCCTTTGTCAAAATGAGTCATATTTCTTTAACTTTCGTAAAACACACACGTGCATTACAAGTTTATTTTAAAAGACTGGATTCACAGTCTGCCAGTTGATTTGGGTTAACATGCTGTCTTTGATTATACTGGTAGAAGTACAGTGGAAGACGTATATGGACTGAGAGGAGTGTATGTCCTATCTCTTTCTATAACGTATACTCTTTCTACGTAGAAAAAGTTAAAATATTCTGTACTAGAAGATATTAGTCATGCTGGGCATAATTGTTCCTTTCAAAGAAAGAACCTGTAACTACTGAGGAAAGCTACGGGTCATTCACATTTTTGACATTCACCTTGAAGTGCTGAAGGGCGCTGTTGATGATTTTCTCCCCAAGGCATGCATTCATCAATTTTAAGAACTCAAGAACATTAATACAAAACAAAATTAACTTAGCAGTTGCTTTATCACATCCTGAGGTAACTAAGTTATGCAAATCACAATGAGTTTGAGAAATAGGGGACACCTTACATGCTTGAGGGGATACCAGCCTGCACTGGTATTTGCTGAATATCAGCTTAAAATTGATCTGAATTTAAAAGAAAATGAAGGCTTTCTAGCCTATCTCAGTTTTCCTACTTGTAAAATGTCTATCTTCTTTATAACCCTTTTGAGGTCTATAGTAAGAAAGTACTATACGACTTGCAGTTTTAAACATCATAAAAAATAACACTTAATTAAAAAAAAAAGAATTGGCTATTATGTCAGTTACTGTTTATGAAGGGCAGATGCAAAGATGAAATGCAAGTTCTCCACCTCTGATATACATTTTATTTTTTTACATTAGAAGTAATTGGTCTAATCAATATATTTTGCCTTGGTGTCAAATAATAAAGTACAGTTGTGTTATAAATGCCTCTCTTGAATTTAGCTTTGATAAAACTATCACGCTACTATTATTGAGGATAATAAAGATCTAAACCACAACCCATTTTTAGGACTACTTCTGCCATGCAAAAACATATTAGGTCACTTATTACACATACCTACAAGACTGTGTCCTGTGGTTTATTTAATCCAATAAACCCCAGTTTTAACTCCTTTACTCAGTTAAATTTCAGTTAAAAAACTTTGCATGCTTTATTTATAAAAATACATAAATTCAATACTATGAATAATAAAATGTTATTCACAGTTCTGTTTATTCAATAAATTAGTTAGGTACAGTTTGCCAGATATGTATTGAAAGAGGAGGTAATTAAGTAAAGATTGTATTTTTCTTTTTTGACCAGGCAAGTGTATATTTATTCTTCAGAGGGGAATTTTTGCAAGGAGGAGAAGATATGCATTTTTCTCCATATTAGAGAAATTTTTGCAAAGAGAAAAAGCTGTTAAAGCACAATCACCCTTTGATACTGCTTTCACTTGACAGTCTCTTCTGTTTACATTTCAGACCCTGACCTACAATGTAACTTTGAAAATGGCCTGTGCAATTGGGAGCAGGAAGTTGAGGATGACTTTGACTGGATCAGAATACAGGGTCCAACCCCCACGATTAATACAGGCCCATTAAAGGATCACACGACAGGCACGGCTGGGGGACACTACCTCTACATGGAATCCTCTGAGCCACGCCAATTCCAAGACAAAGCAGTTTTGCTTAGTCCTCTCTTCAACCCTTCTGGCAACGGAACCTGCATTTTCCGCTTTCATTACCATATGTTTGGAAAGCAAGTTTACAAGCTGTCAGTCTTCCAGAGAACTGAGAGTAATACCAAGGGATGGCTGTTGTGGTACAAGTTTGGAAATCAAGGGAACAGATGGATCAGACAAATGCTTTACATCAGCATCTCTAAGCCATTTCAGGTATGATCCTTCTAGGTTGTGAAGTGCTTATTTGCTGCATCATAAAACACTGCGAGTATATAAATGACTCTGCAATCTCAAAGCTATTTGTAACTCTCTGATCAAATTTACTTTGAAATACACTTGTAGGGAGTTTTTTGATGAAATATGTCTGAAATATTTATTTTTAATTGAATTTATTTTCCCCCTAAAATACTTTATTTTAATGTTTTGAACAGGAACATGTGGTATTTAAAGTAGATGTTATTTTTGTTTTTCAAGCATTTTGGTGAAACAAACTTATCTGAATCTGCTACAGAACAGCTTGGCAAAAATTTTGATTCATTCATGAAAAAAGGGCTGTTAAAAAGAATATCCTCTTCTCTGCCTTATTTTTACAGAGTTACATGTTAATCTTTAATTATATAATGCCAGAAAAAATATCAGTTCAAAATATTTGGGAGCAAGGTTAGGTCAACAATCAAATATAATTTGGAGAAAGATATGATTATAGTAAGTTACACCTACAAATCTTGATTTATTTTCTCACCTTTTAAAAATTGTATATATTATTTACCTTTCACTATATGTGACTTGTTTATTCTGGTCAGGTTAATGAACCTGCAGGTTTATTAGAGGAGACATTAGTTCACTTGACTGCCAACTGGTCATAAAATTCACTTTAAAAAACCCCAAAACATATTATAAAAAGAAACACCTTCCTTTTAAATCTGATATACTGCAATATTTTCTTTAGATTATCCCACATTTATTTCCCAAAAGATTATTTCCTCCAAAAAGGAAAAAGCCTTAATATTACTGTGGTTGCATGGAGACACCTGGAAGGAGAGTGCTTGTTTTTTGTCAAGACCCTTTGTAGAAATAGAATCATAGAATCAT